TGATTAGTTTGGGATCTGTAAGCAGATCTTGATAGTCTCCTTCTCTAAAACATCCCCATTCTTTATCCCAACAGCCACTAGTATTACTCAGGGTACCTTCCACACTTACATTCATATACTTGGCTGTTCATTTTCTTCTAACATTTCTCCAGATTGTACAGCTCCTTAAACTTCAGAAAACAGGGTGGCAAATATTGTTACCCATTGTTTCCCTCCTTTCACTGGTAATATACCTTTGATTATATTTGGAGTAGCAATATACTCAGCTAAATTTTTTTACCTCCCATGAGTTGCTTGGAGTCCTTGTGTGGTGCTGTAGGATAAGCACTGGACTTCAAAATTGGTTGGAACCGCAAGGTGGTGATTTGAGCCCACCAGCACTTAACAACAAAAACAATATGAATCACATGGAACTGGGGGCTCAGGATCACAGTATTGGGGTCAATTGGCATACCAAAGTCCACAAACACAATGTTTTATACCCTACTTTGGTAAGCAGTGACTGGGGTCTTAAAAGTTTGTAAGCGGCTATCTAAGGGGCAACTATTGGTCTCAAATGTCCAGAAGAAAGAAGAGTGATGAGAATTGAAGATACAAGGAAATAATAAATCCAAAGGACTTCAGGAACCTAAGAGTGGACTTACCATGATCCTAAGAACAAAGGCACCAGATGGTGCCAAGATACTACTACCAACTGCTCTGAAAGGGGTCACATATTAAAAGGTTCTAGATAGCATGGAGAAAAAATACTGGTCCTATAGAGACTGGTAGAACCCCAAGACTATGGCCCTTAGTCAATCTTCAGGTCGCGATGCGTTCCTTGTGGTTCAATATCCAACTGAGCAACAGACAGGTATATGTTGTTGTTGTTAAGTGCCATTGAGTTGATTACAACTCATAGCAACCCTGTATAAGGTTTCGGGAAAAACCAACTTTGTAGTTAAGCACATTAACCCTCATCGCCACGCCAGGACTCCTAGATAGGTATAATTGGGCGGGGGGCAATCAAAAGGGCAGCATTGACCAAGGACAAAGGTCAGAAGGGTTGGGGACGAGGAGGAATGGAAACAAACACAGGGAAGGAAGTAGGGTAAGTGATATTTCATTGTGGAGATTGTAATCGATAAAATAAACCAACCTGTATGAATCGTTGAATGGAAGACCAACTGCTCTGTAGACCTTCACCCAGTTCACAATTTATGAATTGTGAGAAAAGTTTACAAAAATAAAAATTCACCTCTTCCGGTTCCCCTGGTGTTAGAGGGGATCATGTGAAGAGTCTGGCCAATGAAATATAAGCAGATAGCTACTGGGTGGGGATTCGGAGAATGCTACTATTTTTCTAATATATAAAGACAGACTTTGTTGGTGTGTACCTTTGGTCTTTTAGGCTTACCCCTTCTTCCTGTCTAGAAGGCAGAGAAAAGACTCCAAAGCCCTAAAATGGGCCGCCAACCTAACAATAGTAGAACAAAAATAAATAAGAAGCCTGGCCTCTGAGGACTTCTTTGAAGGGTCCTACTAGCTGTGCTACGTCCCCCTCTAGGCTAATTATCTAAGATTAATAAAACTTGTACTTTTTCTAAGCCACAGTTTGTTGTTGTTAAGTGCCGTTGAGTCACTTCTGACCCATAGTGACACTGTATAGGGTTTCCAAGGAACAGCTGATGAGCTTGAACCACCAACCTTGCAGTTCAAATGAGTTTGCAGTCTGACGCATTAGCCCACAGCACCACACCAGTTTGTTAAGAGTCCTGATAATCATAATGAATTAGCAACTCCTATAGGACATGATTGATAAAACCATGCCACAAAAATAGTAAAACGCATTTTACATTCATACAAGGCTAAGTCAAAAAGTACTGCTACTAGGGTAATAGTTCATACATATGTAGGTTTATTTTAAACAAAATGGTTTTAAAACATGTCTGTGATCAGTGGATGACTGCAGACAAGTTCTCTCAGTAATGTATCTGTCTTATTAACAGTAATACACTTGTTAGGGTGTCTTCAAAGAAAAGATCCAATAAAAACAGTGGCTTCCTATGGGAAGTTAAAATCAGGCAGAGAGGTCAGTTCAGAAAATTATGGTAACTGGTGGAATTCCAAACGGGTCATCTTGAATGGTTTGATCAAATGACATAGGATGATCACAGGGGCTTATTATGAAGATTGTAAAAAAAATTGAAAACTGCATTGGTGAGCAAAAGATCAGGAAAGTTGCACCAAGGAATTTTTTTCCCCCATCAGAACAATCCACCTGCTCATTCTTTGGCAGTAGCAAGGACTGCCCTATGAGAACTTTGTTGGGAAACCTTACACTATCTGCCCTATAGCCCTTATCTGGAACCTTCACACTTCTTATTGTTCCCCAAACTAAGGTATATTTTACAAGAACACAATTTGACTTACTTAAGGATGCCAAAACTGCTATTTGGCACATCATGCAAAAATTTAAGAATAAAGAATTCACTGGGGAAGGGCTGCTATTGTTAAGTGTCACTGAGTGGGTTCCGACTAACATAGTTGTTGTTCAAGTGTTGTAAAGTCAGTTCCCACTCATAGCGACCCCTTATACATATCAGAAGGAAACTCTGCAGTCCTGCACCACATCTACAAATGCTGTTAGGTTTCAGTCCATTGCTGATGCCACTGTGACAATCCATCTCATTGTGGGTCTTCCTCTTTATCACTGACCTTCCATTTTGCCAAGCATGATGTCCTTTCCTGGGACTGGTCCCTCCTGATAACATGTCCAGAGTATGAGAGATGAAGTCTCCCCATCCTGGTTTCCTAAGGAACATTCTGACTGCATGTCTTCCAATACAGATTGGTTTGTACTTCTGGCAGTCCATGATACTTATAATAGTCTTCTCCAACACCATAACTCAAATGCATTGATTCTCCTGTGATCTTCCTCAATACACTGTCCAACTTTCACAGTCATATGAAGCCATTAGAAAATACCATGGCTTGGGTCAGGTGCACCTTAGTCTTCAAACTGACATCTTTGCTCTTGGACATTTTAAAAAGCTCTTGTGAAGTAAATTCGCCTAATGCATTGTTTCATTGATTTTTTTGATTGCTGCTTTCATGAGTTTAATAGTGGATCCCAGCACAATGAAGTTTTTGACAAATTCAGTCTTTCCTCCATTTACCATAATGTTACTTATTGATCCCATGGTGAGAATTTTTGTTTTCTTTATACTGAGGTGCAACACATACTCAAGGCTGTGGTGTTTGATCTTCATCAATAGTTATTTTAAGTCCTCTTCATTTTCAGTAAGCAAAGTTGACTCATCTGCATGTAACATGTTGTTAATGAGTCGTCCTCCAATCCTGATGCAATCTTCTTATTCATATAATCCAGTTTCTCAGATTATGTGCACAGCATAAAGACTGAATAAATTAAGGTGAAAGAATACAACCTTGATGCACACCTTTGCTGATTTTAAACCATTCAGTATCCTCTTGTTCTGTTTGAAAAATTGTCTCTTGGTCTATATACAGGTTCCTCATAAGCACAATTAAGTGTTCTGGAATACACAGTCTTCATAATGCTACCCACAGATTGTCCTAATTCACACAGTCGAAAGCCTTTGCATAGTCAATTAAGCACAGGTAGATATCTTTCTGGTATTCTGTGCTTTCACTCAAGATCCTTCTGATAGCCCTTGTTCCATGTCCTTGTCTGAATCCGGCTTGGACTTCTAGCAGTTCCCTGTCAATATACTGTTGCAGCCATTTAAAAATTATCCTCAGCAAAATTTTACTTACATATGATATTAATGATATTGTTTGATGATTTCCACATTCTGTTAAGTCACCTATCTTTGGATTAATCAGAAATACGGATCTCCTCCAATCAGTTGGCCTGGTAGCTGCATTCAAAATTTCTTGGCATAGATGAGTGAGTACCTCCAGTGCTGTATTAGTTTGTTGAAAGACTCGATTTGTATTCCATCAGTTCCCAGATTGTTGCTCT